TACTTCAGGTTTAATTGAATCATTTTAACGTTTTTCACTGTTCCTCCCCATAACAGATACTTGTAATTTTCATAGGACAATTATATTAATGTCGTACAATTTAAATTCTCTGTTCAAAATGTTACTTAAACAGTTATCTAAAGTACTTAGACTAGTCGTGAGGCTTTCACTTGTCTTCCACGAAGTACAGTAATGGGGGAGTAGTGTTAGTCTATCAATATATGAGAATGAGTTCACACATGTATACATTTTAACAAGTCTACAGCAAAATTTAGGTACGAGGTAAGAATATAAATAACTGCAGTTGGAATGGGTTGATTTGGATCTCTGTTATAAACTAAGCTGAACTTTACATATTGTAAAGGGAGCTAGGGGCTCCTCTGGTCAGTGGAGCTCAGTAGTGATACATACATACTGACACACAAACACGTTTGTTTTCTTAGGTGAGACAGCAGCTAGGTGCACAGAGCTGTACATCCAGAGCCGTGTTTCTGGGCGTGCTCGGCCCATGTCTGCATGTAGGAGTGTGTGCAGAACTAGTACACACACACAGGTATTTGTTTACTGCTCTAGAACCTAGAGGTACAGAGGTGCATGTTAGCAGTGTACACCTGGACCCACCCCACTGCTGTGCACGCTCTACTTGAACATGCTAGCACAGGTGTGCCACAGAGACACTCACTTACATAGTCTCTACCACTGCACACGTGCTCACAAACACGAGACTTGCTTGTATGTAGAGGTTGTGTACATTAACACAAGTGTAGAAATCTGTGCACACTAAGATGTGTAATGTTATCACACATAGATCTTATACAGGGCTATGCTCACATTGCAGAGCCTGTGCACACTCACAGAGGGCTGTACACCAACTTAGTCATACCTGAGAGTGGGGTAATTTAACACACGTGCCCATGATGCACACAACACGTGCATGCCTTGGTCTACGTGTGCAGCCCATCACCACTGGCATCCCCGGCCTCCAGTGTGTCTGATGGCCGCGGTCACCCTCAGTTAGGTTGGAACTGCTGAAAGCCACCGTGCTGGATGCTCCTGGCTTGCTACCAGCCATGTGGGCCCACATGGTCCCTGGCTTGGAAACTGCGCATTCGGCGAAAGTTGCTGCCGGCAGCCCTCCCACTGCCCATGGCTCTCCACCATCTCTGGGCACCATCACCCACATGTCTCTCTGCCACCTTTGGGTGCCATCACCCACGTGGCGTCCTGATCTCACGGCTCCACAGGAGGGCCGTGGTGGACCCCGCACCTCAGCCGGTCTCTGACCGTCAGCAACGCCGTGTGCAATCTTGGCACTGCGCCTCCGCTGGTCCTCGCCCATCCTCACCGGGTCAGCGCGTACCAGAAACTCGCCGCGTCCGGCGCGGGTGCAAACGCTGATTTACGCAAACTCGGCTCCTGGCCTCGTCCGTGCCCGTGGGCTCTCCGCCACCTCTAGGCACCATCACACACGTGGCGTCCCGATCTCACAGCTCCACAGGAGGGCCGTGGTGGACCCCGCACCCCGGCCAGCCCCTGCACCTCAGCCGGACTCTAACCATCAGCAACGCCGTGTGCAATCTTGGCACTGCGCCTCCGCTGGTCCTCGCCCATCCTCACCGGGTCAGCGCGTACCAGAAACTCGCCGCGTCCGGCGCGGGTGCAAACGCTGATTTACGCAAACTCGGCTCCTGGCCTCGTCCGTGCCCGTGGGTCAGGCAAACCACTGCGGCGGCCCTGTGAAGCCTTGCTTGCCCTCTCCTGCAGCCCCCGCCTGGGGAACCCATGCACTCGGCTTGTCCCGAGCAGCAGCCCCCACTGGTACCAGCCACCACTAAGTCACTGTGGCCAGGCACGCCTCGGCTGGGAAGCTGTGGCAGGTATTGCGCTGCCAGCGCACCAGGAGCTTACTGCACTCCCTGCACTGCTGCTCCACGTGGAGCAGCCATTCGGTCCTTCCCCCCTGCTGCCCGCGGGCTGGGGAAGTTACCTCGACTCCCCGTCCTGACCCAAGCACCATTTCTGCTGAATGACGACATTCACTATCACTGTAACTCTGTGGCTCTCAATGTGAGCTCTTACAAATCTTTTAATGTCATGCATCCCACCAGGCCGGGGGTCCCTGCTTTTGTCTTTTATGCATCCTGCCCGCCACATTTCTGTCCTTCTTCTACACGTGTCCCGCCAGTGACAAGGTTCCCCCCCTTCTCTTATGTGTCCTGCCCTGCTTCCAGCCCGCTGCTCCACGTGGAGCAACCACGCGGTCCTTCCCCCCTGCTGCCCGCAGGCTGGGGAAGTTACCTTGACTCCCTGTCCTGACCCAAGCACCATTTCTGCTGAATGATGACTTTCACTATCACTCTAGCACTGTGGCTCTCAATGTGGCAACCTCTAAGTGCTCTTGAGCTCTTACAAATCACTTAATGTCACACATCCCACCAGGCTGGGGGTCCCTGCTTTTGTCTTTTACGCATCCTGCCCGCCACATTTCTGCCCTTCTTCTACACATGTCCCGCCAGTGACAAGGTTCCCCCCCTTCTCTTATGTGTCCTGCCCTGCTTCCAGCCATCCACTATCCCGAAGCTTCAACAGACCAGGATGGATCCATATATTACTACTGTGAAGCTCACGTTCATATACTGGAATTATGGAACTATATTCTGGCTAAAATAATTATGAGGATCTTTTACCCTAAGCACACTCCCAGAACTACTTCACTCACACTTTGGGCATACACACACTTCTAATTACAATCCTCTAGATCCTTCTCCTTCTTTTTTTCATTATATAGTCCTTTGTAATCTCTGGGTTTAGCTGCCATCACTGTTGGACCCAAGAGAAGTCGTTTGATCTACTAAAATCAGCAGTGATGCCATTGATCCAAAATCTCTTGGGCCACAGGTGAAGAGGCTTTATATCCCAGACGGGTCCCCATTTGTGAGAAACAACTGCTCACTTTGAAAATTTACAAGGTTTATTAAACCTTAACGAAAATACAACAAAAGGACTAAATAAGGGAAAAGTCACAGTGCTGGGAATTGCCCTTGTGGATACCACATGGCTGGTTCTTGTTCAAGATGGATGCTCAGGCTTTTATACCCCTGGGGGTTGCATCAGCCAGCCCTGGCCCCTCCCAAAGTCTGTTGGTCAGTTATTCTTTGCCATTTATTGGTGGAAATTACTTTCTTGTAACGTGGTTGGAGGTCAGGTGTTGCCTTGCCTCACTCCCTAAGCAACAAGCTTTTCTATTCCCATCTGCCCCATGCAAGGTGCTCATGTGCACGCCTTCTTCTACCTGTTCTGGACACCCCAGGCTGTCTGATGAGAATAGTACAAAGTGTGGGCGGAAAGGGAACTGTGGGAGGAACAGAGAACATCTAAACTATAGTAACATAACAACACATCATTAAAACTTCTCTTAATATTCACACAGTAGTCATCCCTAATTGCAAGAGCCAATCATCTCATTATCTATCATTATCCACACCTTGGAACATGTGAGAAACGACTCTCACTTTTAAAATTGTAAAGGTTTATTAAATATTAACAAAAAAAAATACAGCAATGGATTTAATTAAAAAATACTAAAAAAAATTAGTAAGGAAAAATTACAGCACTGGGTGTCTCTGTGACTATCATCTGCATGCTCATTTACAAAATGGATGCTCTGCCTTTTATACCCTCAGCCCCTCCCAAAGTTTTGTCAGTCAAGTCCTTCTCTGCCCCCCGCTGGTGGAGATCACTTCCTTACCCCTTGACTGGAGCTCAGGTGTTGTCCTGTTGCCCCCTGGTGATGAGCCAGCCCTCCCCAAATGCCCTGACAGTGTGCCAGTCCCTGTCCCCTGCTTGGCAGCCACCAGCAGCCACGGAGGGTGTGGAAATCAGCTGAGGTTCGCCAAAGGCCGGCGGGAGGGGAGGAAAGCTGGAAGAAAAAGAGTTGGTGGATGTGGCAGCAGCTCTCTGGCCACAGAGAGCAGGCACCGACTTCCCCAGGCATTTTCCTGGAGAAGGCTGTGAGAAGATCTGAGGAAAGAATGAGAAACAATTCTTATCTCTACTTGCTGCACGTGTTGTTGTACACATGTGGAATGTGTTATGGAGATTGTTTACCAAAGGATGATTCCTTAATTGGACACTGGATGGTGTTTGGATTGATTGACCAGTTAGGTCAAACCTGTATCAGACTGTCTGTAAGGGTTATGAGTTTCTTAATAAGTATAATATAAGATGACAGAATAAAGCAATTAATCAGCCTTCTGCAATCATGGAGTCAGTGCTCATTATTCCCTGCTCAGGGGACTGTTGCTACGAGAGCCAGAAACATTGAGGGGTGGAGGAATTGCCAGTTTGTCCTGATGCGGGAGGGGGATGCTCGGAGAGCTGCTCTGTCTTTTGGAGATCTCTCTCTTCCCATCACAGGATAGAAGACAGTTCCTTTCAAAAGAAAAGACCCAGAAGTGGGGAGGGTGGAAACATCTTTTCCATGATTTTAGCTGGAGACTGGGATTTGCAGCCTGGAGGCTCAAGTTACTCAAAGGGCCAGGCTGGAGGGGATGGGGAGCACTGCTACCCCCAGAAAGAAATGGGGAAGGGCTTAGGAAATGCACGTCTAGATCCCTTGGCCCATTAACTGTACAGTATTTTTATTAATGCATGAACGTTCTGATTGCTGAGTTTAATTGTTTTCTAAAGACACCACAGTAAAGGGTGGTGAAGCAGCTCAGGAATAGAATGGGGGAGTGGAAGAGAAGAATAACATTTCACGTGTCATTCTGGAAGTGATCTGCATATGGGATCAGAACTCCAGGACTTTGGTGTTTTGGCATTTCCCCCGCGGGCACAGCCCCGTATGCCGCTTTCCCTTCATCTGGAGGCAATCCCCCGCTGTCCCCAGCCCCTCGCTCCCTCCCGGGGTGGCTCCCCCGGTCGCTGTCGGGCTGTGGCGGGGGCAGGAAGCTCCGGTCCCGCTGCCAGCTCGCACCACACCGGGCCAGCGCCAGCGGGCAGAGGAGCTTTGGCTTCCTGTCCCCTCCCCCGTGTCCCCAACCCAGCGCCACCACCCCCGAGCCCCATCCTGTGTCCCCTCGGCTCGGCCGTCGCATGGAGGACGAGGACGGCTACGTGATCTTAGAGCGAGGGGACAAGCGGGGCTCTGCGGGGAGGTCCCCACCCCGGCAGGGTGCAGGTACTGGGGGGTCGTGCCCGCTGGGCACCCCGATCTTTGGGGGAGAGGAACTCGAGGGAGCTGGGTGCGGGCTGAAGGCACCCAGGAGTCGCCAAGAGCTGCCCAGGGTGGGGAAACTGAGGCACAGCTCGAGGGAGGCGGGTCTGGGGGGGCTTTTCTTGATGCTGTGGTTGTCTGCTGTCCCATTCCCCCGAGCTGTGACCCCAAAAGATGGAGCAGAGGGGGGTTTTGGGGTCACCCAACTCTTCGTGCTCCTGTACAGGGGCGTCTCACTGAGTTGCTTTGCCCCAGGACCTCCTGCCTTGGGCTCTCGGGGTTCGGGGAGGCGACAGGTGCTCCCGATCCCGCTCTTTTTCCCATATCCTTTCCCCAGCAGCAGGATCTGGCTTTCAAGAATCCCAGAGGGTCCCCGCAGCATCCTCCTGCTGTCCCCGCCGCCTCCTCGTGGCCCTGACGGCCGCCCTGGCGCTGTCCCTCGTGCTCTGCCGTGAGTTTCGGGGTGGCAGGGGGCTCCGGGCACCCCTCGGACCCCACCCCCGATTTCCCTGACCCCCCTCTGGCAGTGTCCTGGTGTGTGGCACAGCAGTGGCAGTCCCAGGGGACCGCAGGTTACGAGAGCGCCTCGCTGGGAGTCGCCCATTCGAGCTGGGACGGCATCCTCAGGGAGATGCGGAGAGTCCTGTGCCCGCCCCGAGGTAACTCACCCCCCGGGGGGCTCCTCTGAGCCTCCCCCCATAAAGAGAGGCAGGAGATGCCCTCCGGTCCCTGCCTCAGCAGCCGGGACCCGCCCGTGTGCCCGCAGAGAGCGAGGGGTGCCGGCTGTGCGCCGTGGGCTGGAGGCTGCTCGGGGCCAAGTGCTACTGGATTTCCGACGGGATGAACCCTTGGGACAGGAGCCGGGAGGACTGCAGGCATCGGGGCTCCGCGCTGCTGGAGCCCCGGGACCAGGATGAGCTGGTGACGGGAGGGATGGCGCTGGGGATGTGGGATGTGGATGCACCCTGGGTGGGGTGGTGCTGCCGAAGGGGCTGGAGGCACCCATGGAAGGGTGAGGGGCTTCCCAAAATCCTGAACTCAGCCTCCACGCTGTGTCCAAGCCCTCCCGAGTGCCTGTGGCTGAGTGTGGGGGACACGGGTGGGAAGCTCCGGCCTGGGAAAGAAGTGATGGCGCTGTTTTGGTCACCCCAAAAGTGGCTCTGTCCTGCTGACTAAAACAGAGCCATCACTTCTCCTTTCCCGGGCCAGGAATTCCTGAATGAAAGCCTGCGGAATCCCACACGGCACTTCTGGATCGGCCTCTCGGTGCCTGCGGCCGGGAGGGGCTGGGTGTGGGAGAACGGCTCCGAGCTCGACCGGGACCGGTGAGCGCCGGGGGGAGCGCTGGGAGGGCTCCCCACTGTCCCCGAGGGCACCCCATTGTCTCCGAGGGCTCCCCATTGTCCCCGAGGGCTCCCCATTGTCCCCGAGGACACCCCACTGTCCCCCAGGGCACCCCACTGTCCCCCAGGGCACCCCACTGTCCCCCAGGGCACCCCATTGTCCCCCCCAGGGCACCCCATTGTCCCCCGGGGGTGACACGGGCTCCTTCCTGCCCCCCGCAGCTTCCAGCTGGACCTGGAGGAGCGACCTGGAGCCTGCGGAACGCTCAAGGGGAACGGGATCAGCCCTAAGAGCTGCGGCACGAGGCTGCAGTGGATCTGCCAGAAAGAGTCTGTCCAGATCTGAGCCTCCATTGCACCCCAAAAGCAGCGTTAAGGCAGGAAAAATCCCAATTCCTGCGGATCCGGCATCCCCCGGGGATGGGCAGAGCCGCAGCCGGTGAAAGTCTCCCTGAGGCGGGCGATGTAGGAGAGAAATCAACCTTAAAAACCCGAATAAAACCTAAAAATAACGCGGGGAATTGCACTTTTGGGGCGAACATTGGGGAGAGGGAGGGAGAAACGTGGCATTTTATTTTTAAGGGGTGTTTTGGTACCGGGATGATCCGAGGTTCAGCCAGAGGGGCAGAACTTCAGACTGATGATCCACAGTGTCCTGCCCATGTCCCCTGTGCTCTCCCCGTGTCCCTCTCGTGTCCCCCGCGTCCAAGGCCAGCCACAGCCGGTCCTGGCAGCTTTTGTCTGGGAGCAATCCTCCGATATTCCCAATTTTAGGAAGAGTTATCCCCGCTTCGGCACCCGCAGCCTCTGAGCCCGTGCTGGCCCGTGCAGAGGAGCAAGGACAACCAAACAGCGATTAATTAGCTTAATAAACGCCTCCTAATTAGCGGGGAGGAGAAGTGAGGCCCCAGGGCTTCTCTCGGAGGTGGAGGCACTCCACGCACCGTGAGCTCTGCAAAACGATGTGTCCGCTTTCAGACACATCTGGAAAAGCATCAGTTGACCCCTTTCATGGATCCCTTAAAGTCCCTTAAAATCCCTTACAATTTTAATAAATTCAACCCCAGGCTGTCACCATTCCCCCGAGCTCTGACTCCATCCTCACCTTGGCATCCCCCAAACTCTCACTTGAAGATACCAACCCCCCACCAAATCCTTCCAAAACTCCAGAACCTGACTGAAAATTAATTAAATGTTCTTCTCCAGACCCCTCTGGGGAGCTAAATCCGAGGATTTTCCCACCTGCTGCCCTCCCTGGAGCCCAGTCCCGAGGGATGTTATGTGAGACAACACTGCTGCTTTTGGGGTGGGGGTCCCCAATTTGAGGCGTCCCTAACTTTTTTGGGGATTCCCACTTTTTTTCCAGAGGGTCTCCCCATCTTTTGGAGAGGTCCCCGCATTTGGAGGGGATTTCATTTGATCCATCTCATGGACCAATTCCCGACGTTTTCACGCTTCTTTCAGCGGCAATTTATTGCCTCTCATCTCCCAGAGATCAGGACGAATATTTTGATCTTTTATTTTTTCCGTTTTAGGGGGCTGAGGGGTTTTTTTTTCCCTCTCGTACTAACTCCTTGTCCTTTCCCCAGTGGGCAGCAGATTTTCCTTCGTCTGCAGAGGAAACCAGACCGGAGAAAACCAACCCCAGCCCCTCGCTCCCTCCCGGGGTGGCTCCCCCGGTCGCTGTCGGGCTGTGGCGGGGGCAGGAAGCTCCGGTCCCGCTGCCAGCTCGCACCACACCGGGCCAGCGCCAGCGGGCAGAGGAGCTTTGGCTTCCTGTCCCCTCCCCCGTGTCCCCAACCCAGCGCCACCACCCCCGAGCCCCATCCTGTGTCCCCTCGGCTCTGGTGTCGCACGGAAGGCGAGGACAGCGAGCGAGGGGACAAGCGGGGACATCGCCACCCCGGCGGGGTGCGGGGCTGGGGGTCCCCTGGGCCCCCCCGATCTTTGGGGTGCGGGCGTGGCCCGAGGCTGGGTGGGGGGGCAGAGGGTCCTGGAAGAGTTCGGGGTGTCACTGTGGGGGTTGGGGTCACAGAAAGGTTTGGAGGGAGGGGGACATGGCTGGGGACCCTGCGGGCAGGAAGATGGGAGGGGGGAGTTGCTATTGTTGTTATAATTATAATTATAATTATAATTATAATTATAATTATCGTCATCACTTTCATTATCATTACCATTACCATTATCATTATTATAATTATTATTAAATAAAGAATAGTAATAGTAATAATAATAATAATAATAAACTAACCACTAATTATTATTACTATTACTATATCTAATAATATCAATATCAATATTAATATTACGTAATAATTAAGATTTACTATTGATGTAAATATTAACACAATATTAATAATTTAACACATTGTTAGTAAAAATCAATACATTAATAATATATTAATAATACTATAATTAATCTTAATATCGTTATAATAATATTATGTTATTATATGTATTATAATAATATTTATAATAATGTTTATAATATGTCATAAAATACGAATAATAACAACAATAACAACCATAACAATAGTGATAATGCTAATAATAATAATAACAATAATGAGAATAAATCCCAGCGACTAATTATTATTACTATTGCTATATTTAATAATATAAATATCAGTATTAATATTAATTAATAATTAAAATTTACTATTGATGTAAATATTAGCATAATATCAATATTTTAACACCTTATTGATATAGTATTAATATATTGATAATATATTAATAGTACTATAATTAATATGAATATCAATATAATAATATTAATTATTTCTATAGTATTATTATATTTATTATAATACTATTTATAGTATGTCATAAAATAATAATAATATTAGCAATAATAATAATAATAATAATAATAATAATAATAATAATAATAATAATAATAATAATAATAATAATAATAATAATAATAATAATAATAATAATAATAATAATAATAATAATAATAATAATAATAATAATAATAATAATAATAATAATAATAATAATAATAATAATAATAATAATAATAATAATAATAATAATAATAATAATAATAATAATAATAATAATAATAATAATAATAATAATAATAATAATAATAATAATAATAATAATAATAATAATAGTAATAATAATAATAATAATAATAATAATAATAATAATAATAATAATAATAATAATAATAATAATAATAATAATAATAATAATAATAATAATAATAATAATAATAATAATAATAATAATAATAATAATAATAATAATAATAATAATAATAATAATAATAATAATAATAATAATAATAATAATAATAATAATAATAATAATAATAATAATAATAATAATAATAATAATAATAATAATAATAATAATAATAATAATAATAATAATAATAATAATAATAGTGATGATGATGTTTTAGCTTTCCTATTTTCCAGATCCTGGACTGCTTTAGTGTGTGACTGCACTTCATACAGAGTGTCAGCAGGTTCTCTGCACAGTTTAGTCACACAAACCAATCCTTTTGCAGCCCCAGGACCAAGGGCACCGCTGCAGCCTCAGGCCCAAAAAGTGCAAACAGCAGAGAACGGAGGAGAGCAGACTGGGAGGGTGGGACTGCATCACCTGGAGCTGGAATTGGACAGTGAACCCCAGTGTGGAAATGGACCAGAACTTTTATAAACGTCTGAAAATTTGTGACATGTTCTCCATCTTGAGTGTGGCCATGGCCAGGCTCTTGTGCTGCCCAAGGTGTATCCTTTGAGGACTTTTAATAAATCCCTGCTTTATTCTTTAACTCTCTCTAGCTGCTGCTCCATGTGGCCTCTCAAGGCATCAGTTGCTGGTTTGTTGTTGCTATTTTTATATAATATAATTATAAAAATAATAAAACCATAAATAATAAAAATAATAATATTATTTAAAAAATACTACTAATAATAACAACACCCCTCTCCATCTCAAAATCACCTCCTCCATCCCAAAGTCCCCCCTCCAGGGCATGGCCCTCCTTCCTGGGCACTCTCAGACAGTCCCAGGGGGTCCTGGGGCAGTCTCTGGGTGGGTTCCTGGGGGTGGATCCTGGAAGATCCCCATGGGACCTTCTCTAGGACTCCCCAGGAACTTCCAGGACGCTCCCTTGGACCTCTCAGGACCTCTGAAACCCCAGGGACCCCAGGGACCCCCTCCCCAGGACATTCTGGGGTGCCTTAGGACCTTCCAGGACCCTCCCAGGCAGCCCAGGGATGTTGGAGGATTGCTCCCAGACAAAAAGAGGGACAGCTCTGGCTGGCCTTGGCTTTCCAGGGGCCACCTCAGTCTGTCCCCAAAGCATTTTGAGTGAGACCCTTCCCAGAAAAGAGCCATCCTTCTCAGACAGGCACCCCTGGCTGAAAGTGGGATTTGGCCCAAGCAAGGAAGAGGAAGAAACAGGGGTTTGTTCCATCCAGAAAGCAGTTATCATTCCCCCTTCCATTTCTTTGTGGAAAGAGGAAAAAGCCCTCTTTTTCAAATTTGACTGCTTTCAGACTCGACTTTTGCATCAGAGCATGAACTGATTGGTCCTGCTGGATTGGTGTCCGTGGCAGTTTCTCTCTCATAGATATGTAACCAATGCCCAGGGTAATGCCAAGCCCCCAGAGGGTCTTGGAGCACTGCAAAACCATGAATAATTTGTATTTTTCTCTCTCCAGCCCCCTTCCAAGCCGTCCTTTAAAGGAGTTCCAGCATGGGCAGTGCTGGCCAGGTGATGCTTGGCCTCTCCTGGGAAAGGCAGCTCCCTTCTCTGGGACAGCAGTCGCTTTGGCACAGTCCCAGCAGCAATCCTGCCACCTGTGAGGAGAAGCCAAGCTACTCTGATATTTTTAAAATCCATCTGAATAGTGGGAAAACCAGTTTCTACCTGGGCTGTGTGATAGACCAAATTAAGATGGAAATGGGTTCAGGGCCAGCCTGCCCCCATTTGCTCTTGTGCCACCACTGTCCCCTCACCCAAAAGGCTCCTCTCCCTCCCTGGTGTGGCTTTTCCTCCCCACCCAGGTATTCATAGCAAGATATTCCCTCCTACCCGTGCTTTTTAGCCACATTAAGCACACCCAGCTCTTTGTTTCGTGGCGTTAGGTGAAGGTGTGTGTGAACATTAGTGATGCACCTGAAGAGACTTTTCAGGGCTGGAGGAACAAACAAGATTTTCTCTCAATCCCTGGAGAGCAAGATGTCATTTAGAATGCATAAATGTGGCTTTTAAGGCTATTTTCTTGAAGGCTGGGCTCACTGGAGTTTGCAGAGGTTTTTATAGTGGGAAAACCCAGCTCCTTTGAGTTCTCTTGGGCTGATATTTTCTGTCTTGGCAAGCACCTGGGAAGGGGACCAGCTTTGTGACACGGCATTGTGTCACTAACAGACCTGTTTGTTCCTTTTTCCTGCTAAAAAGAGCATCTGATGTCTTGGCACAGCTCTGAAAACCATCCCAGGAGGGCAGCGTGCTTGAGATAAAAGCCCTGTCTGCAGGTGTCACCTCCTGAGAGGTGACAGCAGACAAACAGCACCTGTAAGGCAGCAAACTCCAAATGCCAGGAGCTGATGCTGCTGCATCTGCTTCAAAAGGGTGTGGAGACAAAAGCAAGGCAGGTTAAGAGCAAAAGTTCAAAATGCTGCACCAGAATCTGCCTGAGAGGCTGCACAGGTTTATAAATTCCGAAGGATGTGTTCTGTAGGGATTACCCAGCAATGGCTCAGTGTGGGCATTTGCTCCTGCTGCCATCTCCCAGCAGAGGGGCAGCTGGCCCAGCACTCCGTGGTGCCCTGCAGCTGCTCCAGGTGCTCATTTCTGGGACATGACCAGATGCTGCTGTGCTGTCTGTTGAGTTCACACTTACTGGCAACCAGAGTGTTTTGTTGGCCCTCAAAACACAGCCCCAGCTGAAGCTCTGCTGCCACTGCACGGGGAATTACTGATGTGAAACTTTCCCCCCCCACAACTATTCTGCAACATAGCTGCTTCAAAAAGTTCCTTTTCACAACCTAAATTGCTTGGGGTGCTTGTCAGGTTTGCCCTGGAGG